ATAATGAGGGAAAAGAAGTTGCAATTTCCAAAGATTCTCAAACTTTTGTTTCACATCGAAAAAAAAGAGAGCGAAAAACTGAGTTTTGCTCTCATTTAATATTTTGATATTTTCTCCATTTATCGTGCCTGATGCCTGTACATTCACACAACATATAGTAAGTATTTTCATTTATGATAATTTCAGACTGTAATTCTCAACTGGCTGGTAAATGCTTGGTGATTTATATGAGAAAATATTTCAATGAGACTCTTGACGTTTAAAAGCTCCTGCCGTCTGTCTTCCTTTCAATCCTCAACTCTTTATCATATTGCACGTTTACTTTTTCCATTCTTGCCTTCTTCCTTTCTCTATTTGGTGTGTAAAAAATTTCTTCTTCTTCGCTTAACTTTTTCTTTATTTTTATTATATTTATATGTAGCTATATGTATGCATGGTTACATTATATAAAATTATATTTTTTTTTGTTTCCTCCATTTCGCCTTCCTTATCGTTATCTCTTCAACTTGCAGAGAAGACACGAGGAAAAATTTAAATTTGCACTTGAACTTTGAACTTGATTTGTAATGGTTTTAGGTTTAGTTTAATCAAAATAAAAGAATGTTAATTTAACTATTAATCGACTCTAAACTGAATTTTCAATATTATTAAGAACCTACAAAGATTCATTCTTATGGAATTCTAAATTCAATCACAAGCCTCAAATCTCATAACATCATAAATCTATCTGAAAATTTTGCCATTTTCAATTCCTGTGAATTTGTCATGCAATTATGTTTATTTACATTAGGGGCAGTTCACTTATTACGTTCGCATTTTAGGGGGGAGGGGGGGCTTGAAAAATTGTAACAAAATGTAGCATAGGGGGGGGGGGTCAAGAAGTATGTAACGTTTTAACTGTCGTCTGTCTTTTAAAAAAAAGTTCACCAAAAACATTTTTTTAAATTTTCCACCTTTTTAATAAGTGAACGGCCCCTTACAAATTCATGTATTTTCATAAAATTTCTATCGAAAAAAAAGTTATCAACCTTAAAAAGCTTTTGCAATGATTGGATTATGAACACAATTCAAAGAATTACATACACAGATTTTCAAAGGTAAATGTAATCAAATTTTCAAATCGAATATCGATCAATTCATCGTTAACCAAGCCTTCTCAGAAAATATGCTTCACATAAAATGTAAGCAAATATTCAACAAAAATCCAAAGCATGATCGAAAAATGCGCCAAGAAATGAGAGAGTGGAAAAAAAAGATTTCATGATGCAGGAAATTGTTTTCGGAAAGAAGTTTTCAAAAAAAAAATAAACTTTGACATAAAGCTGTGCTGATTTGTTGCTACAAAAGATTATTTCGTTAATTCAAAATATTTTCATTTATTTTCCCCCCATCTTTAAAAAGTATTTTTCCGTCTTTTCTGATTCATGTCTTCTTATTATTCTTTCTTTTGAAGGATTTGAGATATATTTTTAAAAAGAACAAATTCAATCCTTAATGCACTTTAACTTTAATAGCTTAAGGGTGCTTGAAAACATTGTTGCTGTTATTGAAACTCTTTTAAATTAGTTTATGGTTCTTCTTTTTATTGATTATGATTTAAGAAAGCTCTTATTTATTTTTCTCCTTCTCTTACTTTTAAAATAAAATTAATAAAGTCAGCATGTACTGGAATATATAAAAGACTAACAAAGCCAGACAAGAAATTTCAATAAACAATTTTATTACAAATATTTTGCACCTAGTTGACTTGATGTTGATAAGATATTCCAACTGGAGGGACAAAAAAGACAAAAGTCCCAGCACAGCATCAATAGTATAGTATTAATAAATCTCTTAATATTAGAGTCTTTGTCAATTGTTACGATAGAGATTATATAAAGAATTTTAATAATACTAAAGTCGACAGCCTATAAAACTATCAAATTTCCACATGTTCTATAAACCAAATATTTAATTTTCTCATACGTAATGCAATATTATCAAATTAACAACAGCAGTCATTTATGTTAATAAATGTATCAAAAACTATTCTATTTGTAGCACAATTGAAAATTATTCGACTAGAAATAATGACAATATTTCAATTATCATCCACAAAAAGCTTGTAGGAAAGGCAATTAACAAACCAATTTAAATAACTTTGTACACTAAAATTGGTCTCAGATGTGATAAATAATAAAGTTGCTACATTACCAGTTATTCAAATTTGTCATTAATTGCAAATATTTCATAGCATTCACACTTTAAAACAACAAAACTAAATCATCATTAATGAAAGTTTAGAATTTTATCAAACATTTGTCAATTAATGTCCAAGTGTGAAAATATTTCCGATTTTATAATTTTAAGACTAGAGTTGGAAAATGTGATCACGTGGCTTTGAGCATAATTTGAAATTTGTTGAGGTAACAGGAACTGAGGCCTCTGTTACAGTATACAAGTAGCTTTAAAACAAGCACACCAACTCTGAATTTCAACACATTCACAAAGTGCATTTCTTCGTTCAAATATTTACCTTTTTCAGATGACATACATACGCACACACATTCATAATTATTCATCCGTCAATATACAAATATTTACGCATTATGTGATATGGTGTCGCTTTTTTTCCATTAAATAATGATTGCGCACTTTTCATTCATTAAATTTCTCTTTCATTTAACATGTACACATTAACAAGCGAGAAAATTGCGGTGCTAATGGTTCTCAATATTATTTACTCCATCTCGCTTCCCTCTCCCCCTCTTTTACCCCAAAAACATTTTCATTTGTCGTATGCTATTCAAATAGGTATTTATATATGTATAGATGAAAAACCCATGAACATATGCTTTTGTGTGTATTTAAAATAATATGAGCCACACCATGAGCAATATTAAAATCCATTATCGATGATGTTATCAAGCTTGTGCATTTATTTTTGCTTGCTCATTCGTTTATTCCAATTTTTTTTCTTCTCAGTAATACACTCTTTTACATTCCCGGTATATGCAGCTATTGGCAAATAATTTGTGGTATCGAATATCATGTTATAAGGATGGAAATAATAAAATGAAAATAATAAAGGTGGAATAAAGCTCGACAGCGTTCCAATGATAAAGCCACAAATTATTATTTTTTCAATTTCAATTCCACTTTTTCTGTTATCAATTTTTATCACATTTTCTCTTTTTATGGGATGATAATATGAAACTGCTGAATAGAAATGACTTCAATATTTGTTTCAATGCATATGTGAATGATATTTTTGTACAATATTCAGAACATTGACACCTGACTTTGAACATTTTTATTTTTTCACAGAATTTTAAATTTAAATCTGAATTTTATGGGAATTTTAACTTTTGGTGAGTTTGAGATTTTTTTTATGTCTTAAACCTTTCAAGACGAGTCGATTGAAAAATTATATTCCAGATTTCAACATTCATGGCTGAAGTCTAAGAGACTAAGTGGATCCGTACCATATTTTAGACTAGATATTGACTCACTATTGTATTGAAGATTTAAGCTCATAAATTAGAATAAACTTTTGACGTCTCATTTATGAGCAATTTGTAAGCAGAAAACTCTAAAAAATACTTTAAATTGAGTTTAAGACTAGAATATTAAAAAAAAAACATCTGAACAAGACTTTCATCAAAATAATTTTATCACACAAACTTCTGAATCAGTGCATTTCTTTCAACAATAGTAATTTGAATAAATTTCTCGACTTTTTCTTGCTGAAATAATTTTTGTTTGTTTGAATAAAGCCCCTGTCGAGATTGAAGTTAAAAAATCATAATTTAATTTACTTGCATAGACCAGCATAGACTTGCATTTTTCAAGCATAGCTCATCGAATGATAAACAAAACAAAACAATCAATAAAATGGAAAAACTGAAAATATTTCATATGAAAAATGCCAACAAAAATTCTCTTGAAAATTTTTCAACTATCGATTAGAAAACCTCAATTGAACGCGATTTTCTCTACGAGGTTCTCACTCTACCAGTCAATCTTTGCTCAAAATTGTTTGGATTTGATTCTAAATCTTATACTTTAAATCTCAAAATCAAATTTCATAAGTTAAATTTAAAAAAAATTTAAGAATATTTTGCCATGACTGCAACAATTTGTCATAACAGAAGCTATACATCATTAAATTCAAAAAGAAAAGCTTTACTTTAACAGTAAAGAAAAAGAATTTAAAAAAAAAATAATTCAGTATAGAAAGTGTCAATGCCCTAAAAGAAGACTGAAAAAAATTATTTTGAATACAAAAGAATTTCCGTTCATTGTCAATCTGTGTTTTGTCAACATCTGACATGACTACATTCAGTATCCTGAAGCAGAAATTTACGCTACACATCACAATCAGGAAATTATATCTCAAATAAAAATTTTTGTTTCACATGCTTTTTATGCAATTTGTGGAAATAAAAAGCATGTCAGATAATAATAGGAAAAAAAAGAGTTTGTTCATACTCATGGGATTTTTACGCAAAGAACATCACAAAACAATCAAATATGCCATTTTAAATTCAACAAATTCCTTCTTTTATTATTTCAATGTTTAATCGTCCCAGTGACATAATCCTCTGATGTTTGCTTTCCAACTACGACTACCTCAATCTCATAGCATAACAAGCACAGAACCGGGAAAAAAAATTTTCAAACTTTTTTCCACTCATCTATTTAAGAGAAAAAAAGAAGCTATTATCAAAAAAAAAAAAAAGATTCATATCAGTGCCAGTGTGTGAAGTGAAAGCCAGCGAAATGTTTTTAATTTAATTTCACGTCATATTCAGTTCTGTTTGAATCGCAAGCGAGTTTGGTTTTCACTTAATTTTTTTTGTGCTTTATTCTAGCCACTGCTTTGTCTCTTGTATTTAAAATAAAAGGATATAATATTTTTCTTACCCTCAAACTGTCTGCAACTGCACTTGATGCTGTCCACTATCAAGTGATTATTCTACATTGTGAATGAATAGACAAAGATTTTAAAAGACAAAAAAATGATTTTAAAAGCTGCAATGTGCCTCTGTTTCATTATGGTATGAAATTAAATCAGTGTTGTTATGCAGATATTTGACTAGGCTAACACTTTATCTCAATATCAACTTATCCATGACTATAGCATTAACTTGATATTTTTTGTGCCATGTTTAGACATATGACAAGAGTTTACTTAACGAATTGATAATTCCATTGTCTAATTGACACCACAAGCATCTATTATCTAACCTAGAACAAGTACACATGCTTAACAACACTGCATTTAACCCAGACAAAAAAAAAAAACAAAAGACAAATTAGTTTTTAAATCAATGTTTTTACAACATTAACAGTTCACTGCTCATCTCATCGGAATAGAAGGATTCGGTGGAAAACCCAAACAGGATAAATGTTACAATCACAAGTAAGAAGAAAAATAAAGTTTGCACACAAAAAAGAGAAGAGAAGATAATTCATTTAACTTTTTTCTCTTTCATCCTTCACGACAGCAATAAACTTTTATCATTGCTTAATTTATTGTGCAATTCAACACAAAACTCTTCAATTACTGTACGTGATGCATGTTACGGGTGCTTTTTTCGCGTTGGTGTTCTAACTCCGGGTGCTGCGCTTTTGAATCAACTAAGTCAGTGTTCAAATATATATTTAGCCAATACAAGTTATGCTGGATGTGCTTCACAGTTAGCCGTAAGTAAATTGAAATGCAAATGAAGTGTGTTTGTGTGTTCTGAATTATGAGAATTGCTTTTTTATATCATTTCATTACGGTCTGAACTGCAAATGTAGATTGAGTAACAGAACAAATAAGAATTTTAATGAAATTCAGATAAAAAAAAGCACTTCTAAAGATTTAAATGAGTCATAAGGATTGCTGCCGGTAATTAAAGTGGTCATTCTGGGGCATATTCATTCATTTAAATCAAGTTTTTTAAAGAAAAAGTTCATGGAAATGAATAATCACCCGTATGATTGAGCACTTGAACAAAGTTTAATGAATCCTCAAACACAAAATTTATCAAAGAACAGATTATATAAAAACTTTTATTCTTCCATTGACCAGAAGCATTTCAAATTAACAAGTAAATTATTCACATCAACAATCAAAAGAAAGAAAAAAAGTTCGAAAAAAGTCAAAAGTTTTTTTTGTGTAATTTTTCCATCCAATTCATCACTTTTTTGATGAAGGAAGAAAAAGTTGCGTCTGAGATTCCTTTCAAAACAAAAATAGAACAAAAGTTCAAGAAACTTTATTTATCATTAAATTTGCTTCCTTTTGTCTATTTATGTATTAAGGATAAAAACTACTTAATTAATTGATTATCTTAATTTAAAAACTTTGTCGAACAATTGCGCTGAACTAATTAAAAGTGAAATGAAAAGCAATTTTAAAGGAATTGATGAAAACAACTGCAATAAAAAACTTCAAGATGATGTCTCGATAAATTGTTCATGTTGAAGTGAAAATGAAAACTTTTAAATTGTTTTTAACGCAATAATTTTAAAGAATAAATACATTTTTGGCTGTATTTGTCCATCTGTCTTTCTGTCTGGATCTCATTAAAATCTATTAATCAGGTTTATTTTAAATTCTTTCAAACGCTGATTTGAATAAAATGTTTTAAATTTATTCAATCCATAAATGCGTTTTGCACGATTACAAAATATTATATAATATAGTTTTATTTGCTCAGCTGATGTACACGACATCCCTACAGATCAAAATTGTTGTTTATTATAACTAGAAGTCAAGTATTGTTCTATTATTTTGCTCATTATACCTTCCAATTAATTAGAAATGTTTCAATACAAATACGTCATTAAATATTGTTTCATAAAATTAATGATTATTTGCAGACATGATTATCCAATTATTATTTGCACAACTTTTTCAACAATTAAAACAAAAATCATTATATAAATTGAAATGATGTTTAGTTTGTTAAAATAAATATGCAGTGATTGTTTGAAGAGACAATTTTAATTGTTGCGATACAGACTGCAAATAAACCAATTTTGTGAATACAGTTTTGAGGGTTTTTAAATCATTTTGAAAGTGGATATAAATCTGTGAAGTGTAATTTTAGTTCCAATTAGTTTAATTAATTATCATACATACTTATAGTAATGAATTATGTTTCATTTTCGGTTGAAATTTGGCTATTGTTTTAATTATTTCTAGAAAATCAGAATATTTAAAAATTAATGGTTGAGTATGTAAATTTAGGGTTGTTCTGATGTAATGCTGTCAAGATGATGACTTGTAATAAGAGCTTTTACTTACTTCACATGTCACAAACTACGAATTTAACTAAGCTATGATCATAAAAAGTCACCTGGTGTCTATATATAAGCGAAAAAGTTTAAAATTTTGTGCATTTTCCCCGCATCTACCAATAAAGCAAAGAATTAATTAGTAAAAAGTATATCAAACTCAATCAAATTAGCTGAAGGCGGTGATTATTATATTTTAAGCACAAAATATGCCAGAAATATTTGTCAGCATGATAAATCTAATAAATACTCGACTGCATGGTCATTGAATGCTATCGAATTCTATTTATACTATGCACGGCATTAGGTTCACATTTGTATGAATCTAAGTTCCTTTGCTTTCGGACGATAAAATTTCTTCTATTCATTATTACGATAAATTATTAATACCTATAAAAATTTTGTGCTGACTGTCATGCATTTCTACATTTCATTGCGTAATCACTATTGAAAATCACAGACATACATTTTGTACATATGCGGGAATGAAAACATTTCATTTGAAATTCAATTCTAAAATATTGAAAATGATTCTTTTTTTCGGAATTGCATTATGCAGATTTGAATGAAATTCATTTTTAGCTGAATAAAAAAAAATATTTTTTCCCTCTAATACTTCCTCACCACAATGATTACGAATGCTCTTATCGGGGTCAATTTGCGTTTTTTCTATTCAATTTTATTCAACCATATCAAATCGTTGCTGCTGTTGCCGCTTCTTGTTTTACGTTCAGATTCAGTTTTTTTCATCCACTGTAGCTGTGCTTCTGCTAATATTGCAATGTGTGTATGTTTTTGATGGTTATTTCGCAATTTTCCACTCTATACACTTTCGACATTGATTATTTTCACACACAATTTGACTTTTTGTTAGAGCTGCTTTTCTAGTGCTCTTTTATTGCTTCGGCCGTTGCACAATTATTAAAAGCATCAATGCATTTGATGTTAATGGATTTTAATTTTCTATCTCCACGTCTGTACATTTCAAGCACTTTTTACTTTCTCTCTCTTTCTCTATTTTGCAGACAATTGTATCGGGAGTACGACCAACAACAGCTCCTACATATCCGTTCTTATGCTACACTGGATATTGCGAATTTGTACGATGTGTTCGTCGCATTAATGCAAATGTTTTGGTAAAATTGAATAAATTTTCATTGATAAAAGGATTTTTTGATTACTTTGTAGGCTTTCTTTTGAAAAATTTGAAATTAGATGACTTTATTGACATTTTGTGCTTCATTTTGGAAGTCATTTATGAGTGACATCTATAGAAAAATGAGATTTTACAGAACATTGCACATAATAACTAGGAAATGTCAACTTAAATCCATCAAATCTTACAATTAATTAAAGACATACTGAAAACCTTAATCAATATATTTAAAAAAAAAAACATCAATTCCTATTCAAGGTTGACAATTGCCTCATCGAGAACAGCAACCGTAATTTGACGACACAACAAGACCGAGTAAATTACTATACGAATATAACGGCATGTATTCTGGCGAGATCACGATGCAATGCATATAATCCAATCACCGGAGAACTTCAGTCAGGCAATAATCTGTCGCCACTGCTTCATTTTCAATCAGGCGTCCTCTCGAATGCACTTCAAATAACAACGAGTGGAGATATTAGAATCGTGTCATTCTCACAAAAAGTTGGTGTTTCGGGATTGTTTTGTGCCACACAGACGAGTTTAGATCAGGCGGGTTATGGTGTGACGACATGCTAGACATGAATGAGAAGAGAAATGAGAGAAACTGTGAAATTTAAAACTGCCATGATGATGATTATGATGGGATGGTCTTCTTGTTCATCTTAAAGTTTTGTAATAGATATAAAAAATTGTGTCATAGTTTGGATAAGGATATCACAAAAAAACTTCTCGACATGACTTTTCATTATTGTGGAAAATTTTATCAATACACATGAAATCTATTGGAAAAGTTTTTCAATTGTTAAATGATCTGAGATAAGAACCGCTCTAATAATATGTGAAGCAGTTTACTTTTTACAAGGGATATCTTTTATTGTAAACTAGCCACTCAATAATAATAACACAATTTTTTTGCTGTCATCTTTTGTAAATTTTTATGATCATTGTAGTATTTTTATAACCATAATAAATTTTTTCTAGTCTTATACTGGTCTTCTTTTTATTTTTTTTGGCATAAGAGTCAAACATATTTCAACTATGTTTAAGAATGCATGAAAGAATTTTAAAGATTTATTGGATAAAGTTTGAACTTGCTGTCATAAGATTTAGTGGCATGATCACATATGCTAATATGTCGTGTTTTTATTTTCAGTAGTTCATTTTAAATTCATGAAATGTCGACGAATCAACAAAACTGTTCACGTCTTTAAACAGCAGCATTGTCTATAACTTCAAATAAAGGACCATTCAGTTATAGCGTCCATAAATAAAATGTAATCTTCTGAATGTTTGTATTGTATAAAAATCACTTTTGTATGAATTTCCACAAAATGTCAGACTTTCCAAAATGACGCACATCATAAGTTAAGAACCCCTGAAGAAGATTTATTTTATCTGAAAAACACTATGCTAATGTTGAACCTGTTCAACAGGAAAAGATATACACTTGTAGTATTACATGCAGTAATCTTCTTATGCTACTTTCTATCATGGTTTTCCTGCATATATTCTTTCTAAAAGGTTTATTCACTTATTTTGTCACGGAGGTAAGGTAGAAAAGAATAGATTTGCAACAAAAAACTAGTTTTTCTATGTTATGTAATAAGTCAACTTCCCATCATGACAAACATGGAAAAAGTTTGAAGTATTCTCAATATTTTATTCATTGAAGAACTTCTAAAAAATTTTGAATGCTCGAAAAATTCTGGATAAGCTTTCTTGGGTTTGATACTTAAAAGTAGAGCAATTGAAGCTAATATCTCTAATCCGATTGGGATAAGTTTGAATATTCCTATCCAAATATGCATCAATGCGCTGTTGAAACGAACAAGATGATTATGCACCACATGCATCTGTTTCGAGTACCTCAATAACATTCTTTTTGTACATGCCTTTTTTATCCTGACGTGAATGAACATCATATTTTAAGTATAACATGATGTGTCTATTGTCTACAAATGTTCACGTAAAATGAAACTTTTTTTTGTCTGTAGAAAAGTTCTATCCACAGGTTTTTAGAGACACAAAAGAAAAGTTTTTTCTTGATTAATCCATGTGCGTCTATAACAATGTTTTTTTCTCTTTTCGCAACACAGCAAATGCTCATATTGATAATAAGTAATCTAATCAAGCAGTCCGAAATGGAAGTAACTTAAGGAAACATTGTGATTTGGACGTGCTGATCTTCTTTATACTCATAAGCTGTTAATACTTCCTTTATTAACCTTCATGGTATATGCCTTCGTAAATATTTCACGATACGTAAAAGTTTTTGTTTTTCTGTAGGAATTTTCTGGGTTGTTATTCAGTTTCTTATGTGCTTGGTTTGACTGGATTAAAAATAATAAAACTTAATTAAAGAAAGAGTATAATTTTTGACGAACTTAAAGTTGTTCGATAAAATCCTAAAATGTTTTATTTGAGACCTTAAACATGAGCATCCAAGCCTCAACACTGCAACCACAGAAAAATTTCATGGGAAAAAAAAGAACGTAAATGAAAGAAAAAGTTTGTTCATGAACAAATATCTAGAGTAATGTGTATATCCGTTGTTCAAATCTGAAAATATAAAGATTGGAATTTTTATTTTTACACAATAACAATGAAAATTTTCAATAAAATAATAATCATAATATCCAAACATTGTCAAGTTTATCTGTAAAAAAAGGAAAGCAGGCAAACGATAAACTTTAAGATGAGAATGGAAGAAACTTTAAATTTGCAATTTTTGTAAAGAAAAATATAAAGTTTCATTTTATTATACACTTCATAATTTGATTTTGTAAGCACTTTCAGGAAGTCGATTGATGGAAAAAAGACGAAAAAAATAAAATAAAAATAAATTGAGATAAGTTGTTAGAGTTTTTCTTTAAAAATTGGGGAAAAATGAAAATAAATTTCTTTGTTATTTCTTTTTATTTCCTTCTCATCCACCTCACATCTCACCCCAAATCATTTTTTGCTTGCCAAACAGCAGAATAAAGTAATGCTTATTATTCAAAGTGGTAGCACAAGAAAAGGAGGAAAATGAAAAAAGTCATCGTGAATGTGTAGCAAAGAAAAGAATTACCAAACTTAATGATCCATCAAATAAATGCCTTTTACATGCTGAGGCATATTTTAACCTGCATGTATATGTGTATAAATTTAACATTACCATCTCTTAAGTGTAGCTCTGACTTTCAACATTGTGACAAACTTGTAAATTTATATGTTTGTCTTTGATGGAAATAAAGTGAGTTAGCAAGCTATAAAATTGTTTATTACGGCACACCTAGGGTCTCGTGGGAGTAATATTGCCTATCTAAATGAATTGGAGTTCCTTGAAACACATGTTGCAATGAATTTTAAATCGTTATCTGGGATTTCATGAATAAATTTCAAAAGTAAATTGTCTTTGTGAATTTAATGAGGAAATTGAGTTGTTATATTAAATAGGATCAGCTTTATCAGTAATTCAGTTATGAAGAGAATTAGGTCGTGGGGGAGCAAGTAATTGAATGAACAAGAATAGCTTCTAATTTTATTACAAAAAAGCAAATGACTCTCTAAGGAACATTCAATTTACATTTAATCTTCATCATCTTAAGTACATAAATACCCCAACCTATGCCAATTAAATAGCTGAATTTCAAAGAATGTATTTCAATAAACCTGCAAATTAACTGACAATATTTATCACAACCTTTAAAAAAAATCAAATGCTTAAAAAACCTCAAACTGAAATCTAACAAAATCCATCTAAAGTACCTCTCCGAAACCCCATTAAATAACGAACTCTAGCACTGAATTTAAAAGAACCATGCTTGAATACGTTTCTTGAATTATAATACATTTATTACATCGAATTGAAAAGCGTTTGTCACCTCCACCAAAGTAAAATAAAAATACATTCTTTTCTTTCCTGTCATTCTCAGTCACAATATGCTATTAAAGGAAATTCTTTCTCAGTCACACCACTCAATCTTCTTACATAAAAAAAAATAAGACATGGATGAGGAAAGAGAGAATTTGTATCTATTAAGCAATCCTACACGTTCATTGAAAGAGAAAAATAAATTGAAAAAGAAGAAAACGAAATGTCACGAATATTTCAACGTTCCTTCATTCACAACTTTTTTTCTCACGCTTATCAGACGGTGAATTATAAATCTCACTCATACAATTGCTGAGTTTACGGTTAATGATAATTCATAAAGACGATGTAGAGAATAAATTTTTACCGCAGTGCATTTGATAATGTAAGTGAAATGAGAATTGATTTGCTCTGTTGCTCATCGAGATGTTCATGTGAAGCTCAGTAGGGATTGTATGTTCTTTTAAGCTTCATGAATGAAAATAAATTGATCAGGATAAATAATTTATCGATATGAAGTGTAAGCTTGATGTTGATCTGGTAAGTAGGGGATGTATCAGGTGCAAGAGAGAATCAAAATCAAAAAGTTTTCTTAGTATGTTCATTTCCCCCTTGATCAAGTGTGTAATCAGAAATTTATCTGCACTGAGTTGCTAGTCTAAAGAAAAAGCTAAATCACATGAAAATATGATGATCCAAAATCAATCTGACAAGGTTGTCTGGATATTTTTCATGGATACAAATGAGTCTCAACATTTTAGAAATTTGCATAATTTGAAAATTTCTTCGATGTCGTCTTGTAAAGAAATTAATTATTCCAAAAAATTACAGACATAAAAAGCTAAAGCCATCAATTTATCATCTATTACATGTTACTGAATAGAATAAATCACTTGAATGATTTTCAATATTTTTAGATACACTCAAGGAATTAAAGTTTTCAACAAAATTTTCCATTGGCTTTACAGATTTACCACTCTATCGAGTTTGTACATCAAGATGCAACTCATAATCCTTAATGTGATCGAAGCATGTGATTTTAGAAAATTTATGAGATGCTAAATCTTCCAATTCAAGATTTAATTATTGTTCAATAAATCAGACTTCAAATTTGCTGGAAAACCACTAGCTTTCTTACGTTCAACGGAGTCTAATGAAAATGATTCCAATCGATTTAATTCGATGCTTCTTTTTTTGGTTAAAATTTTTTTGTCTTTACTTCCAAGAAGGAAAACAATTAATCAAGGAAATTTCGCTCTTGGGATATTTTTAGGCATTAATTATATAAATTAAAATCTTTGCCCGTGTCTTAAGAAAAATTATGTAAATAAATAGAAATTTTTGTCTAGGAAATTTGTCAAAAATTTCATAATTTATTTAATTAACCGTTTGGTGCTCATTTTAATACATCATCAAAAGTCTTTTGAATTAATCCAGGAACTTTTATAATGTAAAAAGTATAAATAAGAGCAAAATTTTCAAACTATTTTCAAAGATTGAGCATCAAAATATTTAGTAGAATCATTTCCACTTTTTGTGCATGATAAAAATTCCCTCAAAAATCATCTCCTTATTCATTTATCACAACCATTACAGAAATAATCTTCATCAATGTAATCATCATTTTCTCATGCAAGGGTAAATGTATATTTATCATTTTAAAAGTAGATGAGATATAATCAGAAATGTTCTACTTTTTTGGTTTCCTTTAAATCTTTACTCTATCGATTTGATTTAAGTCAAATTATGGTTTTGGGTTAAGATATATTTTGGAAGCTCTCGGTGAGAAAAACGTATTCTGAA